AACTTGGCGAGGATACATCTCCAATGCCACCATTTTTCGATCCCCACCATTTCGTCAAATGGTTCTATTGTCACTATTGAGTGCTTACAACCGTTCATAAATTTTTCTTCCATATTCGTGAATTCGTTCATTCGACGAATTAAGACGTAACCATCTCTTTTGCAAAAGACAATTCTGTTAAAGTTTCTAGACAGTCCTCAAGTGTCATTCTGTTAACCTTGGTTTATAAATATTTAGTGTGTATGTACGCATATATTGTGCAGTTTGTTGCTGTGTAAAAAAAAATATGTATTTGGATTTTTTTGTAAGTACAACTTTATTAGAAAAGTTTAATATCTTTTTGTAATGAAACAAATATTATTAATAATTTTATAAAATATTATTAATAAATTTATAAGTAAACATGTCTTTATGATGCGTAATGATGGATTTCTTTAGTTCTTTAGTGACTTTAATTAAAAAAAAAAAAAATTAAAAACTATAATAATAAATTAAACTGTAATTATCAATTAATAATAAAATTCGATATCATTATTAAAAATCAACGATATTGATATCAATAGTATTTTATAACTTCGTTACTATATTAATTTGATTGAAATTCATAGAATAACATAAAATTAAGAATTTAATGAGAAAGAAATTCTACAATGTTTAATAAAAACCAGACAAGAGATGTATTTTTTATTTTTATTTCTCACATAGCTCATCGGAAAGAAGCGACTAATGAGAACATGAACAGTGAATGGTTTCTATGGTATTCGATGTCGCGCGCGCGCGAGCAATCCAGTATCGCATAAGTAACAGCATATAAATACACAAATGCATACAAATCTCCAGTATTCTGCGGTTTAATTGTCACTCATCGTTCTAAGTAAGATCATCCTATTTAATTTTTATGCTATAGAATTTGAATCTATTTATTTGATTATTTATTCTTTTATCAATATTTTTTAATTAAATTTGTTTATTTTTTAATTAAATTGTTTAATAAAAATAATATAATATAATAGTGGTATTTTTATTAAAATAATATTAATCGTGATATATAAATTGATTTTCATCGTATATGAAATTGATTTTGTTCGAATTCGTAAATGTATTTGATAATATTATTGATATATATCTATATATTAGATTTCAATCAAGTATATTTTATCTGTCATTAACATATTTTTATAATATGATAGATAATATCGAAATATTAATTAATATTAATATTAATTATTTGATTAATTTAATTAGTAGAACCGATTCTTTTTTTTGTTCAAAGAAACGTTATCTCTAAAATCATGATCTAAATTAAACAATGAGTTTTTTATAATGAATCAAATAAAAATTGGCAATAAAAAGATTAAGTTTTTCTTTCTTTTATACTTTTTTTGAATTAATTTATATTAAACTAGTTTCGTTTAATTTCAATATTAATTTCAAATTATTAAACAAAATAAATTTTCCATGATTATCTATTTCTACTTTTTAATTAAAATAAATTTTTTTTAAATTCTTCTAGAATAAATTATTGTTATGAAAGTTTCTATATTGTTAAATTAATTGAAGCAAACATTAGAACTCGTAGAATATAGTTCAAATATCTTGAATAATCAAATACTTCGGATACATTTAAACCGTATATTTGGATTGTGCATTATATACTTTGATTTTCTTCAGAAGTTTTGAAATTTTTTCTTTTATTTTGCTTATAAAATGACAGAATTGTTTAAAAAAAGATATTTGTTTGATTTATTATCAAAATATATTGATGAAATTGTAGTAGAGTTCTTTTATTATTTAACTAATTCCATCGATGCATAATCACAGAAATAAATACCTACTTATTATTATACCATAAATATTATACTATTTAATATTAACTAAATATTAACTTTAATATTAACAAAAGTATAATTAATATTTACAATAACTGACTACTTGCTATATTATAACTAACTTACTACTCATTACTCATTACAATACTGATTACTGATTATTTCCTGCAATAATTGCAATAAAATAACTGCATATATGGTTATGGTTCTGATCTCTCGAAGTGCAAATAAATGATGAATTCTAGAATAAGAATTCTAGAAATAAAATATATAAGATATTATGTATTGTTTAGGATAATATTATAATTCGTAATTTGAATATATAAATATTAAATATATATGAGTTGTTCATGTAAGAAATTTGCATCAAAATAATGCTTTTATTCGAGTCAATAGGAATTGTAATACTTTCACGAAATATTATAATTAGAGGCTTAGAGATTATTGTTGGTTTTTTCGGAATTATTGATGAATCAATTGCAATTACATCTTATTAATTATTGATATATATATATATATATAAGAAATTATGAAAAAATATATTGTAATATAAAAAGTATATAATGTCTCAATTTATATGGTACTATATTCATTATTCAATATTGAAGATAGTGATGGTATTTTATTATATGAAGATCTTTCATCTTGATAGAAGTAAAATGTGACATAAAATCTAAACGGACATTGTATGAAAATAAGAGTAATTTATTATCTTTATGCTTAATATGGCAGTAGTTAGTCTTCCTATTAGCTTTTAATTAAGGAAGCCCTTTTCTGGTCAACAACTCTTCATGTATTAAATCGAGATATATATAACCTAAAGGAAAAAAAAATAAAATTTTTTACTCGATTTTTCTGTGGATTTGAATATAATTTGAATTATACTTGGAGTATAGATATAATATAGATATATAAGTATAGATTTATAAGAGAGAGATTTTATCGCCTAGAAAATTACTAGTTATAACTGGAAGTAAACGGAAAAACATAATCGATATATATATATATATATATATATATATATATAA